CGGCTAGTTAACGGTTATTTTTGTAACGACTATTTACCAATATCTATATATAACACTACAATTCATTTTCATAATCCAAACACTCAAAAATATATTTTCTTTATAAGAAAATGAAATGTTTGATCCATTACTTATTATTACTATTATCTTGTTTATTATATACGTTTTGCTAATTTTCACGATGATGTATCGTACTGTTGGATTTAAATTTTATGCATTAGGCCTTTGTATAATGTGTTTAGTATTTGCTCTTTTGTATGTATTGAAGAATTAATAATTGTATATCTAATTTTTCGAATCTAAGCATTGATGTTTTATTTTATAGTTATCATGGCAAATCTGGTCAAACTCGAATTTGAAGCTATCGATATATCTGGGAAAAATTATATCTCATGGACATTGGATGCCGAAATTCATTTGGCGGCAAGGGGATTAGAAAAAACAATAATCTCCCCAAATGATTCATCAATACAGGATAAAACTAAAACAATGATATTTCTGAGGCATCATTTGAATGAGGCATTGAAAAATGAATATTTAACTGTTAAAGATCCTGCAGATCTCTGGAAAGCCTTGAAAGAAAGGTATGATCACCAGAAAACGGTGATTCTCCCCCGGGCTCGTTATGAATGGATGCATTTACGCTTCCAAGATTTTAAAACTGTAAACGAGTACAATTCAGCCATGTTTCGCATTTGCTCGGTATTGAAATTATGCGGAGAAAACATAACTGATTACGATATGCTGGAAAAAACGTTGTCCACGTTCCACGCTTCAAATGTACTATTGCAGCAACAATACAGAACAAAAGGCTTTGTAAAATATTCTGAGTTAATTTTTTGTTTGCTGCTGGCTGAAAAAATAACGAGTTATTGATGAAAAATCATGAATCTAGACCTACGGGGTCTACTGTTGTCCTTGAAATAAATGTTGTAATATCTAAACAGGGAGCCGGAACTGGAAACAGCCAAACATATGTGCGTGGATATACATCGGGACGTGGCCGGGGTCGTGGACGTGGATGTGGCCGTGGCCGTGAATATGGTCCAGATCGCCGATTTGACCAAGTCCACAAATTTCACCGAGGATATAACTCGGGCCGGGGATATAATCGTGGGCGAGGCCGTAACTATGCCCAAAATTTTGAAAGGGGGAGAAATTTCCAGCCAAAATTTGAACAAAATAATGTGACGGAGAATAATGATGAAAAGGCATGTTATCGATGTGGAAAGACGGGACATTGGGCACGTAATTGTCGTGCCCCGAGACAAGTTGTTGATAATTATAACAATTCCCAGAAATCAAAAGATAAGAATATAGAAACCAATTTTATGATTTGGGAACCCTCTGAAAATGATTCAACACGTGTGGATGATGAATATGGCATCGACGACATATTGAACCTAGATTTTGCTGATGCGGTAGTTGAAGACCAAGCTAGAAATGACCAAGAAAATAACCGATGATCATGTTTTTATTGCTTTCTTAGTTTTGTTGTATTTGTGTGTTTTTATCTGTATTTCGACTTTAATCAATAATAAATGTTGTTTTCTTTTAGATCATGGATCGATCTCGAATCCAAAATGGAGATATATGTCTTGCAGATTGTGCCACTACTCATACTATACTCAAGGACAGAAAATATTTCGTCAACTTGAAATTAAATAAAGCAAAAGTAAACACAGTATCCGGAAATGCAAAGATAATTGAGGGTTCTTGAAAGGCCATATTTTTTATGATGGGAGGTACAAATTTATATTGAATGATGCATTATTCTCCCCAAAATCAACAAGAAACTTGTTGAGTTTTAAAGATATCCGAATGAAAGGATACCATGTTGAAACAATGAATAAAGGGGGAGTTGAATATCTTTGCATTACCTCAAATATTGCGGGAAATAAATGTGTTTTGGAGAAATTGCCAGCTTTATCCTCGGGCTTATATTACACTCGCATTCATATTATTGAGACTTATGCTGCAATAAAGTCACAGGCGAATGAAGTATTTAAACTTTGACATGATAGACTTGGTCATCCTGGCTCGATAATGATGCGAATAATTATTGAAAATTCTAGTGGGCATCTATTAAAAAATCAGAGGATACTGCAAACACATGAATTGACATGTGCCTCATGTTCTCAAGGAAACTTGATAATAAGACCATCACATACTAAAGTCGGGCATGAATCACCATTATTTTTGGAAATGATTCATGGTGATATATGTGGACCTATTCATCCACCTTGTGGTCCATTCATATATTTTATGGTGTTAATTGATGCTTCTAGTAGATGGTCTCACGTTAGTTTGTTATCCACTAGAAATGTGGCATTTGCTAAATTACTTGCCCAACTTATTAAATTAAGGGCTCAATTCCGAGATTATATTATCAAAAGAGTCAGACTTGACAATGCTGGAGAGTTTACATCTCAAGCATTTAATGATTATTGCATGGCAGTGAGAATTGATGTTGAACATCCTGTAGCACATGTTCACACTCAAAATGGTCTAGCAGAATCATTGATTAAACGACTACAACTTATAGCCAGACCATTGATAATGAGGACAAAACTGCCCACTTCAGTATG